ATTTTTTGATACAGGTCAGCATGAAAGCTCATATTGTTATATTTTGTTGGCTTTCAGTGGGTTTTGACTATGAGTTTGTAAAACTATTCATTCCAGGTTTCTCCAATAATTCAGTTCAGTTCACTTTTATTTATACAGTGCCAAATCACAACAACAGTTGCCTCAAGGCGCTGTGCTTTGGTGACAGAGGGAAGGAAAAACTCCCTTTTAACAGGAACAAATCTCTGGCAGAACCAGGGAGGGGCAGCAATCTGCTGAGACCGGCCGAAACTTGCAAGCATCTTAAAATCAACTTAATCCTTCTTGTTGCAGAAATTTAAACATGCCACGGATGAACTTACCGAGGATCACTTCCTGATCACGAGAATGCTCCTCCTCTTTAACCTTCAGTTGTTTTCTGAGATCTAACAAAATGTAAAGTTAGCTTCAGGTGAAGAAGGTATCAGAGGTGATACTTGCTTTTAGAGATCAAAAGAAAAATACTTACTAGAAATTGTAGCAGCACTTTCTTTATCCTCAGCTGTCTTAACTTTTTCAAGGTTTTCAAGTTGGCTTTGCAGATCAGTGATGTTCAAAACTGAGGAACAGAGGAAGAAAGAATCAAAGCAGAACTTTTTTCCTTCATCATTTCTGCAGACACCATGTTCTTTCTTGACTTACTCAGGTTGGCATTTTCCTGGTTCTTCTGTTTCAGCTCATTGACATGTTTCTCCAGCTCTCCCTTCTTGGCTGCAAGCTCATTTGTGATCTCTGAGGTCATTTTAAAGAAGTTAAAACAGGTTTATTGGTCAGACACGAGAGATCATCCTACACGTTTTGTACTGTGAATTACAAAAGCTACCAAGTTTCTTTATCTCTCACACTTATTTTGTTTTTTCTACAAGGATGGGGAAAACTAAAACTCTCACTTGCCCCACATCTGACTCCTCTGAGCTTCTGCCTGCTCACTTGTATTTGTCACACTCTTATCACTAGAGGAAAAGCACAATGGGAGATACTTACCAGTTAGCTTACTGGTTTGTAGAGTTTCGCGGTTTGACAGCAGATTCTGCAGGTGCTTCACCTGGCTCTGCAGATTCAGGATTTTCAGTGCTAAAGCACAAAGAAGCAAAAAGAGTAGTTTGCTATAAGACATGCTGTGAGAGAATTACTTCATGAGAGGGAAAAAGGTAAAAAGAAAGAAAATTCAACTTGTCAGTGAACCTTTGTGCTCTCAGTTACTTCTTACTCACTCAGTTTGGTGTTGTCTCGATCACTGCTGCCTATTTGAGCCATGAGTGTGTCTATTCTGTTTTGTAGCGCTGCAAAAAACAGTGAATTGTATTAATAACATTTAGTCATCTACTATGACTTTGTGTCACCCTCAATCAGCACCTTAAACCTTAAAGTACCTTTTATC